AGATTTCAGCTCAAACCTGCAGAAATCAGCATGTAGCTGCTTTTAAACTTTTACCCAGTCCCTCTGGCTTTCACATATGAAGCTTTCAAAAAGAAGTCCATGCTTCTTTATTTAATATGTTGYTTGTGGTCCTGCAGCATCCTCAAAAATGACTTAGTCAAAATACAATTTAAATTTTCAAAACTCCTAATATTTCTTCTCTTACAAAGTACAACAAAGCCCAACACTAGTTATCGAAATAAATAAAAAACTAACGGTGATATCAATGTAACTGTGCCATGAATTGTATAGAGACTGTTTAAAGGCCAGATTAGGTAAATATATATAACATACAGGATATTTAAAGTGTTGCTCTAATAGTTCTGGGGGCACAAACACTGCTTTCAGTGCCATTAAGACTTTTAAAATAAATCAGCCTAAAATATAACCTGTTGAGCTATCCATTATGGCATCTATGTTCTATCATACAAACATATTTTGAGCAGTCTGAAAATGCACATCCTTACTTGATATGCTGCCATTACCTGGAAATCTATTACACTGTAGTTTCTAAATGAGAGGCCAGAAAATTTCCAACACACTTTGTGCTATGGAAATTCAAAGCTCAATGAGGGCTTAGGCTAAAGTTGTAGTCTGGGTGTACCAATTACTCAAGCAGTTAAAAAGACTTAGGTAGAAATTAAAATTTAAACTATGAAAGGTCTAAACCTCCCTGTGAACAACACAGGCTCTCACTGAGGCTGCAACATCACAACAACGAAGCGTTCTGTTCATCCTATACTAAAGAAAAAAAAAATCAGTAAATTCAAAGATTGATTTCTCAGCTAACTTGCRGTGGAGTAGTCTGTTAGATTCCAAACAAATCTCAAGATTTCCACAGTTTGGGAACAGAGTCCAGAAATKTAATTGGTTGAAGAAGGAGGTGGCAATGGTTTTAAATAGCAATGCTGTATTTTTGTAGGCAATTAGAACATATTTAGCTATTCACACTGTTTTATACTAGTGATGGATGTAATGAAAGAAAAGAAAAGCYTTAAAGAATGGGTGAAATATTATAAAGATTGCGCTTTCTCTTGAAAAGATGGCACTTTTGCCCTTTACTGAAGYAAATTGTGCAGAGAGGCAACTTGTGAAGTTTGTTCTAAAGGAAGAGGAATTCATCTGCTGCTATGGGGTGGGATTGCTTCTGCTCTTGAAACCTGTGATCCTCACAGCTAAGCAGAAATGTGTGAGCTGTGTCTTTGCCTGCACTGCTGCCACCCTTTTCTCTGAATGCTTTTAGCTCTCTACTTGCAATGTTAGTTGTTGCAGAGGCAGCTTTGGTYTTCAAAGATAAAACCCTTCCTCTTCCTCAGTCTCACAAAATGTGCTGTGCCCCTTATCCAAAAGAAGCAGATCATTTTTAATTCAAAGCATTATTTTTGTATAACATATCACTTTGGCTTACATTTTCCATGCACAACACTAACTATCAATGACTTTTAACAAGGAGGATTGTTCAGCCAGCTTCTGAGATTATCACTCACAGGACTGTGGGACAAAGCACTGCAGATTTGCCCAGCTTATCAAACAGGCCACCGGCTTTTATTATTTCAGGGAGAATCAAATTGGAAGTTGTTTCTTGAACTAATCAGGGCTGATTTGCTCTAAAGTTGCTTCCTGACTTAGATCTCAGGCAAGGAAGTGCTGTAATCAGTTCCCAAGGGCCGTCAGAGTTGTGATGGGATATTAAAGGAATGGTACACTACCTTTTAAGAGTCCCCTAATCTTAGCAGATTTTTGTGTTTAACACAGTTAAACCTGGGCTTGTTGTACAGAAACTAAGATTAATTTCATGAGGTAGCTTTATATGAGAGTTGAATTTACTTGAGATAGCAAACTGAATATTGGATAGAATATATTCAGGTTTCCTCCAGGGTTTGTACATTCAGTTAAAAATATTGACTGGCAGGATTGTTCAAAATCAAACATTCACTACCCAAAACCAAAAAAACACCCTCAAAAAAAAAAACTTCATGAAAGAGAAAATGAGTCCCCCTGAGTGCCTCTGTTTGCATATTAGCCCATAGCATGGGCTCTGCCAAGTTACTCTCTGACTGACTGCTGCAGATGCTCTTTCTCAAGTATTCTGAGTGAGATCTTTAGTGCAAGTCTTTGGGGACAAACAATAGCACCTGTTCCTCACAAGATAGCAGCCCAGTTAGTCCATTCATGTATCTTTAATGAAGCTCTGGGGCAGATGGCAAAAAATGGCATCATCAACGACTTAGCACAGAGGAGACAAAAGGGGAAAGCGCCGATCCAACAATACGCTATTTTTACGAATGGGAAGAGACAGAGTCAGAGTGTTTCTTGGGCATCTGCTCCCGTCTTGTCTTTCAGAAAGACCTGAGGAACATCTCAGCAATTAAAATTTCTGGGCRTGTAGCCGATTTTATGAAGAACACCAATCAACCCCTCCTCCCAATTTCTCCCCCCCCTCAGTAAAATCAAAACCATCACCTTCAACATAATAAAACTCTCAGAAACAGAAATTGTCAAAAATCAAGGAGTTAACTGGATTTTTTTTGCATTCATTTTATATATTTAATAATTGTATGCTCAGTGATTCTTCTACATTCTCTTCCTTTTCGATGATAATGCTTTTCTGTTGACCCGTGCTGGAAATGAACAYCTATGTCCATAATAATTCTTTGTAAACCCAACATTTATGCAGGAATAATATTTAAAGTGTGCCAGAAAGAAGACCTGTGAGAGAGAATGGTGGCCGTTCAGCATGGGCTTTTTTCAGTCTGTATAAATCTCTCCAGTGTAAATTCAAACTTACAGCCTAAATGTAACCCTTAATCAAAGYTATGTAGATTTATATAGACTGAAGACTTGATCCTGAATTCAGAATAGGAAGAATAGCAGATAGCCAGAAGATGAGATGGTAATTCTCCAAACTCAGAGAATTGCATTTATTTGAGAGTTTAAATAAAATCTGTACARCTGAGTGGATCGAAATCTACAGGAATGCATTGTAGGACTTGGTTGTGGTATGTTTCAAATTATCTTTATGACACAATGGAGGGTGGTAGTGGTGAGGGTGTGTTTGCACTTTCACTCAAACCACAGCACCCTGATCTCTCCTGTATCTTGTGAGATTGTGTTGGAGTCTTGTACCTTTGCAACCCCATCTGGGGGACCTTTCTTAGTATTTTGGCCCCATTTCATTAGTTGCTAGTTAGGAACTACTGCAAATTTTTGTAAGTTGTACTGCACTGAGTTTCTTCCGGTATAGTTTCTTCTATCAGACAAAGCATGTGGTTTCCTTTGCTTTCCTCCTGCAGAGCCAATGTATAGAAACACCATGCAGCAAAATCAGCACCATTCCATCAGAGCTAAATGCCTCTTCTGGGCACATGGGGATCAACTCCAATCTGACCAACTTTAATGCATAACCTAAAACACACAGCCAGGCCTACCTCAGCTAAAATGAGAGAAATAGCTGCGTAAAGCTAGTTTCTTTCACGCCCCAGTGCCAGAGCAGTAATTGCACAAAGACCTTTTTATTATAAGTTGATTTTCCTGAGGAATGGATTCAAAAAATACTGTAAAGTGTTTATTTTTTGCCTGACCTTTATTAACCTCCATCTTAGGGCTTTCCCAAGAGAAGAGTTGTTGGTAAATTAACCCTCATGGAGACACACAGTAGCATTTCTGCACTGCATCAATGGTCGTGAAAGTAATGGGGATATGACAAGAAAATTTGGCACTATTTAAACAATGTCATAGGTCAACATATGGGATTTGACCAAAAAAGTTTTTTAGGAATTAAATGCAACAAAAATGCTTGAAGTGTACTTTAAGTTTTTAATAGTATTTAATTTCATCGATTTATGGTAGGATGAGGGACTCTTTTTTTTTTTTTCTGCCTAAATGCCCCATTTTTTCTTATATTTGCCAGCTTTGATATAAAAAGCATTTTATGTTTGCCTAACTGCTAATCAGAAAAATCCTAGTCAAACCCTTGGGTACTGCTGAGGTTAAGGAATGATGGATAAAAACTCTTTGCAATCCTAGCCACTGTCTCTGAAACACAGGTAAATTAAAGAATTAGGAAATTACCATGTGCATTTAACAGGCACGATTCCATCATGTAAATCTCTATATGCTGAATACAAATGCTAGTATAAGGTGAAGAATTTTTTCCCTTTTCCATGTTTGTGGTTTTTTGATATATTTATTACAGTCAAATTAAATTTGATATAGTAGGTTTTGTTCTGAAATGGTCTCTGAATACAGCTCCATAATTACCAAGCTACACGATGGTGCATAAAGCTATAAAACTGCTTAGACAGACAAGCAATTCATATCTTATAGTGAGGTGTGTGTGGCAGAGTATGTTAGTTTATTCAGGAGTCAAGATGTTGGACCCTTAAATCTTAATAGTTGTGGTGTTAACTGGAAGTCTCTTTAGTACTGTGGTGAGATTTAGAAATAACATACCTGAGTTGTCGGTATATATGTGAACAATACCAAGTTGTAAGATCTCAGAATTAAAATTACCCTAAACTTACTCAGATTTGAACATCAAAATAGATRCTGCAGTGTTATGTTATTTCTAAATGCTTGTCACTCTGCTGTCTGTGACCAAAGATGAGAAAATTTGTGAAAAATTACCAGAAATAATAAATACTTTTAAAAAAACCCCAAACTTTGGTGCGTTTTGTACCTTTTTACCTTGCACCAGGACAGGGAATATTAATTTAAAAAAAATGTAATAGGGTACCAGGAAAAAGTWAGAAAACATGCAACTCACTGAAACTGTTACACCTTTGACACTGAGGGAGAACAATGTTTGTGAAGGCTTTGATGTGATAATGTAGAGTTGGCAGGGATTGCATTAAGGCAGGGTTCCGTGGGACTGTGTGAACGCAAGAACACTATCAGTGCTGGAGAAATACCTGTCAAGACAAATTTGTGCTATTTCTGATCAGAGGCTCTCTTCTGTTTAGCAGGTTCAGGGTCACATGCCTCCGCTCATGATCCCAATTTTTCCACACGACCAGCGGACACTGGCAGCGGCTGCTGCAGCCCAGCAGGGATTCCTCTTCCCCCCAGGAATAACTTACAAGCCAGGTAAGCTCACAGGGATGGGAGGTTATTGCCCGTTTTGAGACATTAACTGTAGATTCTTGTATGATCTGTCTCATACAGGTGGCACATAGCATGGCTGGTTGGAAATTATTATGGAGCTTTTTCAACTCCACTTGAAAAAAAACCTTCTGGATTAAAGGAGGTGGATGGACTATTGGTTATTGAACATGATTTTTTTAAACTTAATTTCCACAAAGTCATTTGCTTTAAATATAATGGCCCCCTTGCCTAGCAATTTGCATCTATACCTAGTATGAAAGCTACATATCTTTAATTAATTCTGTTATCTTCAATATATTTGTGTTTTGTGTCAAAATTCTTACTCTTTTGTTTGATTTCAATCTGGTTAATAAAAGGTTTCAGTAGTTCAATTCCAGTCATCATTCAGGCTCCTAACAGGTCACATAACCTTGCAGTGAAATATGTTTCGAGATGATTTAGCAAATGTTATGATTTCTTTCTTTTTTTCCTCTGAGTTTACAGGACTCCTGGGGAATTCAATTAGGGATATAATGGTTTGAAGCTACTTTCAGAGCCTCCTTGTAAACAGGGCTTTAAATGTTTAAAGACACTTTGCCAAAGGAATTCAATGTAGGAAGATAGTTAAGTAAATAAAAGTCAACCTTATTTTCATTTGTACATTCTTTGTAAGTGACCTCAGTCCAGAAGCAGCAACCTTATTTTGCTCATTAATAGTATTCTCTGTCAAGCTGCCTTTAGCATATTAACCTGATAACTAATAACTACAAAACCTAAATACCAGTTTATTTTTTTATTCATTAAATATGAAACGTACAAAGTAAGGCATTGATCCTGTTCCCACTGATGTTCGTGGTGCTTTTGCTGTTGACTGCAACAGGAACAGGGTCAAATCCAAAGTGAAGCCTCATAATAGATGATGTAAACAGCATGCTAATTAAAAGCCAGGTTGAACCTAGAATATTTTCTAACAAGTTTACTTAATATTAGATGAAGTGAGGCCAAACAGGAYTTCAGCAAGTATTTCCGTTTGTCCCACTCCCTTCTGTCCCTTTAGTCCAGAGATGTTCCTCTTTAAATACAGATTCTTTGTCCTGCTATTTTATTTCCAGGTTCTGAAAAGCCAAAGTTATTTTCCAACTTGACAAACTGGTGCACTTTATGCTGGAAGAAGTTACTGGGGTTCTGAAAGGCAGGCAGCTCTAGATGGCCCAGGGTGAGGGCTGTTCAATTCACACACCTCACAACAGTTAGGGACCAAAGACAAAGAGCTGCMAGTTGTGGAAATTACCTACAATGCCCTGGCTAAATCTTAGTTCTCACAGACAAGAGAAAGCACATGCTTTCCTTGTTTTTCCTATTTTAATCCGAGATGCTTCCTGAATAGTGACTGCTAGTGACTAAGCTGTTGGTTGTGCTGCCCCCTGAAAGGCGTTATGTTCAATCATGTTGTGTTAATTTTGGCTCTCTAGACTTCTTGGTACAAAAATTACTCAGGAGGAATAGTGCCAGCATGTTTTCCTGAACATGATTAAATTTCTGCACTTATTCTAAAGTGTTCCTCACTGTACCTATCTAACTTGATCTTACTGGCCTCTTAATAGGAGGTGATACAGCTTTAGGGCATTTTCTTGCTTGCCAGAATGCAGAAAGAGAAGTGTATAACAAATGYTAGAAGAATGAACAGCCTTCCTGCAGCCCAGGTCTAGTTATCTTGGAACATAGAGAAGCCATTGGCTGGTATGTCAGTGGTTTATATCCAGATGATGCTAGTAAAGACCAGAAGTTACAATGATCTGATTACAGCCAGTGGTTTTAAAGAAATTAGAATATTGGTATTGTCAGTATATTTGTTGAATTCARCTGCATGTGGGGCCAAGGTAGCTGGGCAGGTCAGTAGCTTCTGTCAGAGGCACATCATGATAAAAAAAATTGCTGTAACTACACTTGGTATTGATTAATTCCTATTTTTGGCACTCTCGGCACGGTAGTTAAGGAATTAATGAAACTGGAGATTAAGCTATACTCTTTCATAGAGAGGGTTCTTCAAAGTCATTTCTGAGGAATATTTATGAACTTGACTGCTACTACCTGTACTCTTCTACTTTTGTGAGAAATGAAACTTTCACCTCCAGAACTGTCAGTCTAGACTGCTTGTACCTCTAAGGAAAGATAGGAGATGGATTAACCCTTCAGACACTTTTCTTTTAGGGTTGCCTGTTTAGCTTCTATTTCATTTTACTGCAGCTTGATGCAGGCAAGCCTGAGCTTTGACCCTGGTGGATTTCCTTGACATTCAGAAAATCCAGTGAGAGTCATTCAATAATAGGAGCAGTGGGGGCTGAGTACTTTTGAAACTGCCTGTGTCATTTGGGGAATGTCAAATATTGTGTGCACAGTCACTTAATTTGCTTTGCCTGCAAAATGGGCTAGATATAGGCTGGCACCAAAGTGGGAGCAGTGTTAGTGTGACAGGACAGCCAGGATGAGAAGTCCTGCCTTGATGTACCAGCAGGGCCATGGTTATGTGTCCGTRTCCATGCAGAAGTGTCTTCCTGGTGACATTTTCATGGTGTTTAGTTCAATGCCAAGGTAGCAGTAATGGAATCCTGCCGCAAATCTGCACACAAACGCTAGGCCCGAAAGGAATAACATGGTGTTCTTTAACAAAACAGAGTAGTTCATGCCCTCAGCTAAAGGTCCTGAAGAAGAGAGGAGAATTCATTGGGTTCTGAGGCCCTTCCAGTACACGTCTTGCTGCTTAGGAACTTCTGAGCTCAGCAAATCATTATGAACAGAAAACTTCAGGACTTGCTGATGTACAACTATGATAAAACCTGACAGGAGAAAGTTTCCTACAGCCTGGCAGAATCTATAACAGTGAGATTGCTGAAACCCTTCCTCCCCCCAATATTTAGAACTCTAGGAGGTGAAACAGGCCAAAGTTAGCAAGTGCTGATGACAAGTAATAATTGCATTAGAAAAAAAAAATCCCCAAAGTCCCATGCTTCCTTATGTATCTCAAAGTCATGTAATATAATTTTCCGGCATGGTAAGTACTAATTGAGAAATCAGAGCTGCATAGACCACCTAATTAATTTTTTATACATATTTCAGTATTTATACTGTATACCGGATTAATTAAAACTTTAGGGCGCTGTGCATCTCAAATGACGGTTGTGACTATTGACCTGCAGGCGTTTGACGAGCCTCGCAGAGTACCTGGTTGTGGGGGTTGCCACTTATTCCAGTGGGAAGCTGAGAGTGGCAGCTGTTAGGAAGCTAATGCTTGCCCAGAGATGCTAGCAGTTAATAGAATGATTTTGCATTCTGAGTGCAAGCAAAGCAACGGCGCTGCCTTTCTGCCTGTGACCACTGCACTCACTGCTTGGAGCTGGTGGGCAGCACAGGTACCATCAGACSTCCTCTCCCACTGCAAATTCCCCTGCGTTTGACCAACCACATGCATCCAGGAGCACTTAGTGGGCTGGAGTGTCCTTGAAAGTGATTAGTGTGTCCCCATTAGTGCCCTGGGTCAAGAGGACAGGACAGTGAGTAGGATGAGGAAGATGAGGATAAGGAAGGACAGTTCCCTGCTCCATCTTGCAGTGATTAAATTATTACTTCCATCAAGTTTTGGGGCTAAGAAGGAATAGGGCAGTAGGATGGTGATGGAGCAAAGATATAAAGCAATGCTGGGTAGATGCCCAGACCACAATTTGAGCAGAGATCAAACAGAGCTATGGTTTGCTCTAAGCAGAGAGGGAGAGGGTCTCATGCCAGGTGGATAATGGCAGTCTGTGAGATTTGAAAATACTGCAGAGCATCYCTGGAAAAGATTATTGAAAGTAGAGACATTGAGTAGAGTAAAACTCAGTTTAGACAGGTTTGTTGAGTGATACACTGCAGTGTATTTTCAAAGCTTTTCCCCTTATTTCATACAAGAATGATGTAGACCCCATGATTAGAATAGCTGAGAAACAGTCCCTCCCTACCTACCTGGGTCATTTGGCTTTATACACAAAAATAATTTACAGGAGATTCTTCTATGCTGMAATGCAAACGTGGAAGTAGAAACTTTTCCTAGGCTGGTGGCAGGAGTAGTGAGAAAGAGAGCCAGCATTTTGGCCTGGTTCTTTTGCTACTTGCACTGGGGCAAGTCAATCCTTTGGAACCACAGAAGGAATATTAGAGAGAGCATGACAAAAAAACCTGTCAGGCTTATTGTCATCAGGCTGGACTTCAGAACATTCCAATACTGTGGAATATTTGTCATTAAATTAATTAAACTCCTTGATTACTGTAGCTAATCTACAYAATTTACATTATTTTGGAGGTGCCGGATTTCTCTGATATCTGACATTGCAATTTCCATTTGGAATAGGTCCTTCAGAAGTTTTTCCTAAAGCTGTAAAGTGTTTTAGAGTTTCCTTAGCTAAGTATTCTTTTTTTCAGTAGGCTGCTCTTCCTCCTGGCAGGTGAAAACAGGAAGCACACACCAAATCCACCGTGTGCTGGGTTGGCTGTGTGTCTTYGCACAGCTTCATGAGTCCTGTTTCTAATGGAAATTCCCCAGAACCGTGATGGAGCCTGTCATGCATCTCCTGYTGGGTTTTCTGGTTGGAACAAGGAATTTGTAACCTCAGGATTTGTTGCAGCAACCATATGTGCCTCAGTCCTAAACACTGATGTAAAATCTGGAAGTGATGGTAGGCAGCTGGATATTGTCAGGTGGGACTTTGCACTGAAATGTGCAAATTGTATATTTTAGCAAACATTACCTGCAGGAGGAAGGGGGGAAGCTGGTTCTGCTGGAAGGTGAGAATGGCGATTAAGGGGAATTGCAGCAAACCCTACTCAGGACAAAATAACAGAAGCAGCCTTGTCGGACAGGGGAGATGCCCCACAGCATTCCCTTGGACAGATACCTCTGTTAACATCTTCCTCAATCCTGATGGCCCTGGGCAAGCAAAACCCATGCCCTGCGTGGGAATACTGTGGGAATGGCCATCTCTGTCCTTGCTGTGTCATGACATCACCTGAGGAAACTTCCCTCAATCTGTTCATCATGCCTGGAAGGATAAGGCCCTGGAATTGCTGAACTCTTGCAGATCTTCCAACTCCATTTCCTCTCATGCTGAGCATGTGAAGACAMAGATTTTAAGTTGCAATCCCAAAATGGGGATCAAGCCCATCATCAACCCAAAAGCTTTGTAACTCAGAGGAGGAGTCCGCTTATGCCTTATAATTGTGTTTTAGGAAAGGCGGGTAATAAAGCAACACCTTCCCCCTATTCTGGGTCTCACAAAAGCCAGACATCCTTCTTTCCTCACAGCTCACAAAGCCTTGATTTGGAAGGTAAGTCTATACATCTCATAAATAAAGTCTGCTAAGCTTCATCTCTTCATCCAAGACAAAAAGAAACATTTACATTATTTCTATGTAGAATAGCACAGCACAATTGCTCACTGCTTTTACTCATTTGGAAATGTTGCTCAACCTGACAAACGAAACAGAAGTCTGGCATAATTTTCCATGGCTTGTAAACACCAATTTATATATAAACAACAGCAGCCAAATGTAAATAGACAATCAGCACAGCAAGGAGATTGAAAAGATCAGTTTGCAAAACATGACAGATTTTCTTCTCCCAGCATTCTCCTCACTCTTGGTTATCAAAGGCCAGCACACASCAGTACCTAAGGCAGACCTGTTTGAACATGTTCTGCTACCTTTTATACAAATTTAAAAGAATGGATCCTCACGCAAGCATTCCAAATTGAGAAACAAATTTGAAAAAAATTGCCACAATACATTGACTGATTTCTTGCCAAGACAGCTATGGAGAAGCTTCTTGATCCATTCTTGCACTGTGAAAATGAGAGGGGGAAATACGTACCTCTGTAATTAAAAATTAAAGCCAGAGCATTCCTTGCATGCTCAGTTTGCTCAAGGGAGAAAGAAGTACCTTTGCTCTGCTTTTACTCCTCAATGCCAACAAGGTACTCTACAGCTGAAGGAGTATTCATTTTTCTTCTCAGCACAAAGATGCTGCTGACATACCAGGACTTAGCCATAATTTAACACATTAAAATGAAGGGGAAAAGGGACAGTATTTGCTTTTAATAAGAGATAAATGGCATAACTACAAAATTATTCATCTTCCTGCAACAAAAGAAAGTGCTGTAGCCAGCAGGTGAGCAAGAGAACACTACAGGGTGTGGTGAAGATACTATTAAATTAACTGTGAAGCCAAAAACTCGGTGTGTGTGTGCGTGTGGGTATAAAATATCTGGCTATTTCAAACCATAGGAGCATGACAGCTGTGAAAAAGGAGTGCCGCAGGGAATTCTTTTAGAGTTTGGTTTTTTTTTAAAATATGTTTGACATGGAAAATGTTTTAGTACAAATAAAGCAACTGGTATTGAACTTAAAAAGTGTATGAGGAGGGGGAGGGAGAAAGAAGAGATTGCTGTGTGGAACAGGGATGAATAATTCATGATATTTAAAGAAAGAATGCCTCCGAAATGTTCTGCAAGGCAGTCCATGCTGATAAGTCGGATGGTTATTTTCCCCGCCATTTAAAGCATCATTAATTCAACATCTTTGTGATTTTTTAAAAAAGAATATTCTAAGATAAGTCTGAAAGTAGCATTATTTAACTTAGATTAGGATCTTATTTATTCAGATAATTTCATGTGAATATCAAAGAGACGAGTGGAATTATTTAACCATAAAAATACAGCTTTAGTACTTTAAGAAAATAATCTAGAAGTTTTTTTATTGCTTTTGTTTTTCTTTTAAGAGAAAAATCCCAACTTCATTGCACACTAAAATCAACCTCATGGAATGGGGAAAATAGGAGGAGATATTTTGCCCATTACTCCATAGGACATCAGTACAATATAGTGTTAGTGAATGCATTGTAGCAGAGCTCCATATGCAATCAGAATCCAATTGTTACTGGACTGTGTACAAGCACATACTGTGCTCAATGGCCTGATGAGGTATTATGGATATGATGCAAAGAGACCTTGTGGATTAGACATGTACAATTTATTAAAAAAAGTGAACATTTTAACTGAGCTGGATACAATAGAACTTCAGGTGGTAGAAAGAAAGAGTTCCAAGGAATCTGGTGACTGTGAATACTTCAGCTATTGTTATTTATTTGAGGGGGTTGACAAAAAAAACATCAAGTTCTTGGGATGTCCTGATTATATTCTGTTGGATTGCTACATTTTTCCTCATTGCTACATTCTGCTTTCAGAATGGAAGTGTTTATGTAAAATAGACTGATTATTGTAAAAATATCTCAAAAAGTACAGCTAAAAATATAGCTTACAGATAACACATAACACTCCTTTAGATAAAATAGCTAGAGCCAGTGATATTCCTTTAAATGAGTTATTTATCCATCACCGTATTAATTAATTTTTATATTACAGATTACACTGCTAAATTATTTCACCCTTCCTTCACTCCTTACATTGACTAAGAGTCTGAATGTCACTGTCTGTGGCATATCTTTGGGAACACCCATAGATGCTATACAACATCATCGTACAATATTTAATTTGGAAATTTTGGTACCTGAATCTTCATGTAARTGAGCACCTGTCTAATCCATTAACTTCACTAGGCCCCCAGATCTAAGAGAAAATTAAAATTGTGTTTCAAGCAGTATTAAAAGGTGATTTAATTTTGTTTTTCTCTGTGACTACCTTAAAGAAGGAGTTGTCCTAAGACAGAGAACCCTAAAGCAAAACAAGAATCTTCAACCTGTGTTGAGCCAACTGGGTACCTTTCCCAGGAGCCACTTGACACTGTAAAGAAATCACCCCGTGTTAAACAGGACTGATCTTTCTTGGGTTATAGCAGATTAATTAATTAATTTTTTTTTTTTTTTTAAGAAACACATGGTAAAAACAATTTTTTTTGCTCTGGGAGCCAGAGGAGTTTGTTGGGGTATCTTAGTTGTGTGCCTGTAAGACCCATTTTGTGCCCAGGTTTCCACACTCGATTTAAACATTTGCTTTTGAAAATGAAAATCACGAGTATCATATTTATGTTTTGCCAGTTTGCCTACCAGCTATCTGCTAACAAAAAAAGTTCCAGGGGAGCGTGGCAAGTCCGCGCCCAGCGAAGCCTTTTGTTTTTGCAGATGTTTGGGCTTAGAGGAGTGCTGTGGAGCACAGGCAATGCCGGGGCCCTGTTTGCACTTGTCTGCTGCTATTCTCTGCTCATTGTCTGAACCTGCACGCATTGTTCTCCCGACAGGTGATAACTACCCTGTGCAGTTCATTCCATCAACAATGGCAGCTGCTGCTGCTTCTGGACTCAGCCCTTTACAGCTCCAGGTATGTGCCAGAACAAAAAAATGTGGGATGGAAGCCAACATTTTAGGGGAAAACTGCTTACCAGCTGTATGCTAAATAATAGCCTGAATGTTAAATAATTTTTGAGCACAGCCCAAGAGGATTAACACCTYATGTACTTACAGCACAGCAACGTGCAGCCAACCTTGATACTGTGAGTGAAAGATATTGCTCTGTGTGTTTTATATCAGCAGTTAATGGTATTTTTTTGTTTATATGATCAGTTGATGGGAGGTGAGTTCAAAGATCTTTTTGTACTTTATTTTCATGCGGTCTCTCCCCTGTAGCTGCAATGCACTACCTGTAATTGGGGCAGTCAGTGTATCCAAACAAAAATGTTTTGTTGGTCTTTTCTTTTTTTTTTTTTTTTTTCTTTTCCCAGACAGTGTGGTGCTGACAATACAATAAATTGCAAACTCTTTTAGCTTCTGTATTTAGGTAATCTCAGCCTTTCTGTGCATTAAGCTGGTCAGGTGCCAAGCATGATTAGGAGACTTGGTTTGGCCATTTATTTATTTTTGGCACATAAAGAATGAAATGTTGTGAAGGTAAGATTTATGTGCCATATTATTAGCTAGCTTCTTGTGGCAAGAAGTTTTTAATTTCAGAAGAAAAGACACAACAATGTCATAAATAATGAAGAAACAGTCAAAAGCTTTCAGAGTTAAAATGTGTGGAAAGAAAGTGACAGTGAACATGAGAGGAAAGGCCATTAAAGATGCATGCAACTATTTGCAAGTAAACCTTTGAAACCCCTATTTGAGTTAGGTTAGAGTCGAGCTCAGAAACAAAGTAGGAATAAATTGCGCCTAAAGTRGCAAAGCACTGCCATGCTACTATCCAAGTATCTACTGTGCTTACCTTCCTGTGATTATATAATTTTCCAGAGGACCAAAGCAAATTAAAAATCCTTTCTTCTTTACCCTATGATGATATTCTTGCCAAATTAACTTAGGATAAACAAGAATGGGACCAGAACTTGCTGTTCATTGGTGGTCCAGAGCTGACAAGAAAGAACCCTTGAGCTTAGATTTGACCTAACCTATAATCAGAATTTGAAAAGACAACACCCTGACTCTGCAGGCAAAGATCTTTGAAAAATAATTTTGGGTCATGATAATGTGGTGTTAAGATTTTATGTTGGACAGGACTGAAACCAAAGGAAGTTTCTCAAAAGGAAAGATAGCAGGTATTCTTTGAAAGTCAGTATTTGACTCTTACTGAAGCGAAAGTCTCATTAACTTTAGTTTGGAAAATACTGCAGAAATCAGCTTTGTGAATAGAGAGACTATTTTTGCTGCCTTTGAAATGCTCTAAAACAAATAGTGAGCCTACACAAGACTGCAAGGCAGGAAAGGATGAAAACTGTTCAACTGTCAAAGAAACAGGATCTAAACCACAGACATTCCTGCCTTTTTCCTTTTACATGATCCATTTGTTACTTGACCCACATATTTGCACATCAGACTTGATCTGAACTTACAGCAATAATGCATTTTCATTAATTTGCAGAAATGATAGACTGAGTTGTTAAACATGACGAGAACAATTAGAGAGAAAACAACCAGCAAAAAATATGATGCTAGTAAATTCAGAAACATTCAGGCTTGAGGGGTCTGAATTTCTTTTTAGACATATTTGCTGTAAAAGACTTTTTTGTTTGTTTGTTTCTTCCCCTTTCCATTTTGCTTGAATTTTATCTCTATGTGATTTCAAAACCTTTAATGTTTCATACTTACAAGAGCTTAAATAGCAGAGCACTTAACCTGCAGTTGATACCTGCTCATCAGATTGTCAAACTGGCTGAACTAAATTTTATTTGCTCCGACTATTATTCTCTTTGTGTCAATTCTGTGTTCCCTAAATGAGCCCTTCTTTGGGTGTGTTTGTTGGAGGGAATTTGTTGTTATACCTGATGCGTCATGAAGGCTGTTAGGGGTGTAGCATTTCAGCTCATTTTCCCTTCTTTGCTTCCCTTCCCCCTTCTTTCTCTGTTTTGCTTCTTTTCTTCCATGCACCCCACCCACTTATTTATTTACATGAATGCTGTGACYATGGTATCTGAGTATTTCCCAAGTGCTTAAAAATACTGATCACAAAACTAATCTCCGTTCCTTTCAGCCAGTGGGTGAAATAGCTAATTCATTTGCAGGTCTGGTTTTGTTTCTACATGTGAATGTGTGTGTAATATCCATTTTTGGAGAACTCAGGCAACGAAAGCTATGTCAAGCAAAAGAGTTTTGCAGATTTTTTGTTGGGTTTTTTTGTTGGGTTTTTTTGGGGGKTTTTTTTTGGGGTGGATGATCATGCTCCAGGTAAGAGATAGCAACAAATTTGTGTTCTTATCTTCCTGTGTGTTAGGGAAACTTCTGTGTGAGCTCTCAATCTAATAGCACACAGAACCATTTGCTATCAGGTGACGATAGCAATTATTCCATAGAGGATGTTTCTCCAGTGGTCAATTTCTAATTGATGATTCCCCTGTCTTATTCGAGCTATTAGCACATTATTATCAAAATGTACTTTCTCTGAATTCTATATTTGTGCTCACAAGTGGATTACTTATCTCCATGAGTTAAAAAACAAAAAAAAACAAACTTTACTTAAATCATATACAGGAGTTTCTTAGGTAAATAGTTGGACTTTTATAGATAGGTGCATTAAAAAAGGGAAAAAAAGTTCTCCTTCTGCAGCCAGTTTGACCTATCTTCTCTTTAGATTTTTGATCACATTGATCAGCTCATGGTAAATACCATTAATATTCAGTTGCAGCTTTGAAGTCAAATAGTAACTACTGCACTTTTATGCCACTCCATGTTCCTGAACTGGTGGCTTGCTCTGCTCTGGATTGATATCAGATAGCTTATTTTGATAGGAATACTGATCTCAAGTGTCATTGATGATATTGTTGACCTAAAAAGGACTTAAAACTCTGTGTTCCATACTGCCCATTGACCTCTCAGGCCCATCTCACCAGTTTCCTCAACAAACCAGACAAAGATTTAAATCATATGCATGCTTGGACCAAACCTTGTTGGGACTTTTGGCATGAGAGGGGATCTTGCTGATGAGGGGACAGCTCTCTAGGTATGGTCTAATCAGAAAAACCAAGTTACTTCTGTTCACCCCTCCAGCCTCAAGCATCTGTGAGTGAGTAGTTTGCAGATATATTGCCAAACACACCTGTGGTCTAGTGATGTGTGGAACAGTTCAGATAGCTGTGTAACAAAAGTGTGTTGCTTTAATTAATCAGTGTGAGTTGTAAAACCTCTCAATAATTTTACTTTTTCTCCTCTTAACAGACTTCTCTGGAGTTTCTCCCCTTTCCCATTTGCCTAAACTTTTTCCCAAGCTGTCAAATGGTTGCACTGATAGTAACTGATTCTAGAGATGTGTGGCTAAATGAATAGATTTGGTCATGAAATGGGTTTTTTTTCATGCTGCTGGCAACAGTAACTGAGTTACTGGGAAGTCACAGTGGTGGCAGAGAAGGCACCTGTATGTCCTTACTTTCAAACAAGGAATGTTGCTATATGCCCTTTAGTGTTTAAAAAAAAACCCCTTCCTTCATTCCTTATTCTTACATATTTCCACAAAGCTGTCTCAGAGATAAATAAGGAAGTGTTGCAACGCTCTYAACCACGACTGATAAACTGTTGATAGAAATGGAAGCACTACAATGATGCTAGCTGGAGTTATTCCTAAACAAAATGAGCTCTAGGAAAAAAAAGCAAAACAAAAAAGCTTTCGTTCATAACTCTTTCCCCAAACTATTTGTGTAATTTGTCCTTCAGAATTTATCGCTTATAACACTAATGAACCTTGGCGAGCCTTAACTATAGTTGCAGCTGTGTTCTTGAAACCTCAAGTTTTTAGAATCCAGTTAAAAAAAGAGAAAAATTTAACTAAACWCATATTTGTCTATTTCTTTTCTGCCCTTCCATCTTATCCCATTCTTCCATACTCTCTTCTAATTGCAGACAAAGTAAATGACCTTTTTTTGTACTGCTGGGTGCAGATCCAGTGTACTGCTGAAGCATTGCATAGCCTGCCTCAGGGGCGCAATATTAGTAGAGGGAAGGCTAAAGAATGCTATTTTTAGTTGAACAGTTCAGCAGATGGAGGCATGAATACTCATATATCTGAAGGTTGAGGGGTTTGAACCATTAATTTTGATAATGTATTTAACCCTGGGAACAATCAGAAACTGTAACTCCAAGGTTACAATGCTTCTGACCTTTAGAGAACAGAGGGCACTTGGTACAGTAAACAATATGTTACATTTCTACTTATTCCAATTCTCTCACACGTATAAATTTCAGGACACAGTTGACATTTGCTTTCCTCAGCTATTTTAGTGCTGGTCCTCAAAGTAAGTCAAGAAGAATGTGCAGGAAAGAGGCCAATGCAATGCGACAGTCATGCAAATACAGCCCTTAAATAGCTAAGTTGTTAAATGTGGCCCTGTATGAAGAAATATTATTCTCAGGAAGCAGAATCTGGGTGACTTATTATTTCAATGAAAAAGTTGTTTTAGCGGACGGCTGCTCTTACGGTGTCTCCTCTACGTGCTGTAATCTTAACATGATTTTTTGAGGGGCTGATGTGATGTGAGAGTGAGAGCTCACTCTGGAGGTGATTTGGTCCCACTCTGGTACCACATCATGCAAAGTGATGTACCTGCCTTATGTCTTACTAAATGATGCATGCTCCTCTTCAACAAATATAGCAGTTAAATATCACGCAGCTTAAGTATTTCTAATTAAAATATCTCCATGTGTCAGCATATTGGTAATGTATTATTTTAATCCATTTATTTTGTTTATGAAACAGTGACATATGTTTAGATTGTGAAATATATGAGCCTTAAAAATCACTTTATTGAAGAAAATTAATTTCTACAATGCTGTCTCAGTAATGTGTTCACTCACCCAGTCAGTCACTGGCAGGGCTGCCAGTCTTAATGTTGGTTAGACACAGTT